ATATATATAAAATTCTAGTAGTATCGATTTTAAGCCCCTGAATAACTTTTAAATACTTTTTCCTTTTCTACCTCACTCTCCAGCAGTAGCTACACATTTTTCCACAAGATGTATCTCTACTAAACATTTAGTATTGCTGTTGTTATTGTTGATTGCCGTCAAGTCGAGCACAACTCACAATGACAGAAGACCTGAAGCCTTTCTATAACTATTGTCCTTTCTCCAAGTTCATAGGGTTTCCATAGGCATGTGGGTGAGGAAGTAGATGCCACTTCTGCTTCCAAACCTGTCTTAAACTGGGAGCTCCATCACTGTCCACCATGGGCAATCATTATGGCATTTGACACCCCAATGGCACAAGGTTCAGCATCACACAAAACCAGATTACCTCAGTACAGCAAATTGACAGAAGAGTGATGTACAACTTAGAAGAATGCTCCTCCTAAAAATAGTAACACCAGTCTCACTTAGCAGTGGTTAAGTGCAGTCAAGTTGAATATGACTCAGAGCGACTCTATGAACAAAAGACCTGAATATGCTGTATCTAACATAATTTCTCTATGTTCATAGAGTTTTCAGAGACATGTGGATTAGGAAGTGGATGCCACTCCTGCTTTCCAACCTGAATCAATCTGGAAGCTCCTTCAAACACTATCCATGATGGGTAAACATTATGGTATTTGACACACCTATGGCACAGTGTTCAGCATCATAGCAACTCCAAGTTACTGCAGTACAGCAAATAGACAAATGATTGCTGTACCACTTAAAGATGTTCATCCCAAAATTAATTAATTAAAACCAATAATACAACTAAAAATGTTTCTTATGTGAATGTAAAATTGCTTTTTTTCTTTGGTGGTGAGAAAACTTTGTATTTTGAATTAGCCAGCTGGACCAGTTTAGATAACCCCAATTATAATGGCAACATTCAAAGTATCATAGAAGCAAGTGGAACACGGGCCTTCTTCTCTCCATCAGGCCTAATCAAGGTGTTGACCTTGGCCACATCAATGTCATAGAGCTTCTTCTCAGCTTATTTGATTTGGTGCTTATTGGCCTTGACAGCCACAATGAACACAAGTGAGTTGTTTTATCTTTATGGCTAACTCAGAGGTTAACTCAAGTTTCTCAGGGGAATCTAGATGACGGCATAGTGGTCAAGCTCGTTTCTCCTGGGGGCACTCTTCTGGGGTATTTGGGTTGCCTTCAGAGTCTCAGTGTCTTAGGCCCCTGGAAAGGTGGTGATAAGTGGCATATCTTCTCTTTTTCTGTGGCTGTGGATGCCTTTCAGGACTGTCTTCTTGGCTTTTAATGCCTTTGCTTTGGCTTCAGTTTTGGGGAGGGGCAGGGGCTTCTTTCCTTCGCTTTTGGTGCCATCTTCACAGAAAAATGTAGTATTACTTTTGACTTAAAAAAACAATCTATATAAATGGCATCATCTTGCAAAATGTGTTTTATACTTAACATTATTTTAAGAGGGAACTCCAAGGCCACACCTCTGACAGTCTGAATCCACCAACAGCTCTAAGGGAGAACGAGACTGGTAATCTCCTGTGCAATTGACAGCCTTGGAAATGCAAATGGAAGAGCACTTGTGACTCAGTTCTGTTTCATTTTCATTATGACAAACAAATGCTGCGATACATATTCTTGGATACGTGTCCTGGGTGCCTGTAGATGAGTGCCTCTAGGGCTTTGCTTGGAACTAGAATTGCTGGGTTGTAGATCAAATTCTTACACAGATATTATGCTCTAAAGTTGTACTAATTTATCCTCCCACCAAGTATGAGAATGCTCTTTTCCCAGCAATTCATCAATATGAGTGTTCTCAGATGTTCTCAGATGTTTTAACAACAATCCATTGTCTTTGAGTCAGAACCAACTAGTAGTTGACCCTCCAGCATGTTTTCAGATGCTGTAAATCACCTGGTAGGAGAATGTTCCTCTTTCTCCCATGAGGCCTCTGGATGGTCTGCATGACTCTCTCTTCACTAGGTCAACAGAGCTCCCTTGTGTGAGAGTAGTAAAATGATATTTCATGGTTTACTTTATAGTTCAGGGAATATTAGAAAAGTAAAACTAAAAAAGTAAATATTTTTGTCTATTTATTGTCCCTTTTGATTCCTGTGTCTCTGAACTGTCTGCTTGTAATTTTATCCAATTTTTACTGGACAGTTTTTCTTATACTAGCTACTAATCCTTTGTTGATGAGAAGCTTGACAGTATCTCCTCCCACCATGTGGCTTGACTTTTAATTGTTTACAGTGGTTTCAGTTGGACAGAAGTTACCCTGCAGCATTAATTGCTGTAGCCTTAGTTACAGCTCCCATCTTTAGTAGGGCAGACTCCTCTTGACACCGTTTCAAAACTGTCTTCTTGTTATGTTTTCACTTTTCCACGCAAAGCTTTGGCTCAATCCATTTTTTTAAAATCCTGTTAAGAATTTTTACTGCCATCACCATCACAGGCATCTAAAAAAACTGATGAGTGAAAGAAAGATTCATGAGCTTTCTCAAAATAGCTCTTTCCTTCACTTAAGGAACAGCAGAGGCTACAAAGGGCGTTTGTGAACTCAGGTGGCCGAGTCTGAGGAGTTGCACAGACTCTCTGGCTGTTTGAATCCAGTGACTCTGAGGGAGGAAGAGGGTCCATCTCCTCTTCTCAGACTCCCAGTGGGAGGGTCAGCTATTGGTTCTGACTCACAGGCAAGGAGTTTGACTTTTTTTTTTTTAGAGTTTACAAATGAAGAGGGGAGAGTTTCATCCCCTGCTCTTCTGGATCCTCTTATTTCTGCCCATGCCTTCCCCATTGCCTGACCCTCAGATCCTCCAGATCTCTCCCCTTTGCCTCGCTGGTGGCAGCGGAGGCACTGAGTCAAACTTGCAGCCTTATGAACAACAGGTCTGAACCTTGCCCTGTCCGGGGTCGTCCTCACCACCTCTGACATGTGTAACAAGCCTGCTGTTCCAGTGACTGTGTCAGTCCACCCTGTTGAGCCTCTTTCTGTGGCCCTCCTCCTTTCCTAGAAAAATGTCCAGCTTTCCTGGGATGCTTGTGTTTCTCCACCCGTCCTTCCCTTTCCCTGTCCCTGCCCTGGCTCAGATTCTTGTCTCCCATCCTTGACTGGGGCAATAACCTCGAATTTATATCCCTGCTTCTCAAGGCTCTTCTTCCTCAGAGTTCATTCTGATTACTGATTAATGGTCCTAAAGCTTCCACCCAGCCCCTCCCAAACTCACTGCCCTCTCATATCCTTGGGATAAAGTGCACCTCCTTTTCCGGTCCCATCTTCCTGGGCCCAGCCCATTCACCTGGCCCCAAACCTGGTCACCTTGAACCTGGCCAGATCTCATCGTCTAAGGGCAATTTCTGGCCCAGTCTGTTTTGATTCCCATCCCTGAGAGGCAACTCTGCTCTCCACCTTCCAATCCCTACCTGCTCAATTGCCCCAACTGCAACAAGGCCCCCACCCAATGTGAAATCCCAAAGAGTCTTTGAACGCCCTAGACCCTTTTACGTGCACACTTTGCAGCAGAGCCCTGTGGACCCAAGTCTCACCAGGTACAGGAAGGTTTCTCAACCTGGGGGATACAGACCCCTTGGCTAGCTCAATCATTGCTACGGGGATGCTATTTGGTACATCTTAAGATATTTAACAGCACCTCACCTTTTGGTTTGCAGCTCAACGCTTAACCCACTGCTCCACCAGGGCCCCGTTCGCTAGCCCTGAAGTCTGACAAATGCACCAGGCTGCAGTCTTTTCTATTTCAATAAACTTCCCCTGCTTATTACTATTACTAGAACGGCTGAGGGGTGTGGAGACCCAAAGCGTGGGTTCATCTCCTGTCCTAGGTTGTGCTGATCCTCTTTTGGGTACTGGATCCTTGAGGGGCAGCTATTCTCCAAGGCCTTGGCATGTAGGGCATTGGGGACACAGACATGAGACACACCCTTGGGACTCTTCAGCCAGGCCACCCTCAGCACTGCCTGTCCCAGCGACTGTCCTGACCTCTGGCTGGATTTCCCCTCCCAGGGAGCCCTGACTCACCTTGCAGGAGCTGGGCTGCCCTGGGAGGGTGCGAGAAGCAGGCAGCTGGGATGCTGTAATTGGTTTCCAGTATCTCTAGAAGGTCAGCTGTGTACCTGGGAAGAGACCAGCCAGGGTTTAGAATTGAGGAGCCAGAGGGGAGTAGGGAGTAATGCACGGGCAGGGACTCCAGCTATGACATGCTCAAACATTCCTGGATTCAGGGAGCTTGTCTATGGAGAATTGGCTCTGGCCAGTAGGAAAGGCACACTGCCTCCTGAGTGGAGTGTCCACGAACCCAATGGGCAAGTCACAGCTCTCAGAGCCGGCTTACTGGGCAGTGAACCTTCAGCACCAGTGATGAGTCCTCAGCCGACACAGTTCTGGGGTCTGGGAGTTTGTGTAGGCTCTCTCTTGGAACAGCCTCAAATACCGCCACTTCTGGGAACTCTCTCTCCAATGTGGATAGCAAAGCCAGGGCTCTGAGGTGACACGTTGGTCCAACCCCACAGTGTCCCTGAGAACGTGTGGCCAACTAGCCAGACAATTTTCTGTCCTCTACCATCATGAGTGTGGGGGAGACAGGGACAGGGAGCAGAGCAGAGATTGAAGCCTGTCTTGCTTAGTCGGGGTGCCCCACCCAGCACCATCACTCACCTGGGGTCAAGCTTCACGTGGGTCCTGTCAGGCTCCATGGTCCCGTGTTCCGGGGAGGCGGTGAGGAGTGCAGAGGGCTGTCAGTGAGGGGCGCAGGGGGCGGGCAGGGGGTGCGGGCTCCAGCTGAGGCCAGGGTATGAGGGTGGAGGGTGGAGTAGCTGATTTCCCCTGGGGCTCTCTCCTTCCTCTGCTCTCCAGCGCCGATGACAAGTGTCCCAGAGTTCACACACCAGAGGAATTTGATCAGTTCAGCTGAGTGAGCTCCGGCCTGACTCCTCCCCAGCCACAGGCTGGTTCCTGCCACTAAGGCCTTTGGCTGCCGCTGGCCCTGCCCTCCTCTCTCAGAGCGCACGCCCCCAAGAAGCCTTTTAGGGCCTTGGAACCAAACAGACAAAACTCTCCCGACCCAGGGTTAAGGTGCAGCGGAGTCTCTACCAGCGTCTGAGCCGGGCCTGCTGCAGCCCTGAAAGTGCCAGCGCCCGCTGCCCTGGGGAGCCCATGAGGCCCCCACACGCGGGACCCTCACGGTTTGAGGACAGGCTTTGAGTCAAACAGCTGCCTCTTTGGGTTCTGCAAAGGGGAGTCTGTGTTTAAGAGACCGAGCTGAGGAAGAAGAGCACTGACTGAGCATATTATGCAAAATTGTGCCATAACAAACTTATGGGGTATTTTATTAGTTGGTAGTTTTTTCCTCTCTCATTAATTAGGTTTGAGCCTCTTTTTTTTTAAAAAAAAAAACAAACAACCAAAAACAACAAACCAACAAACTTGAATATATTTTCTTTTATTCACCTCTACTTTTTGGGTTTTTTTAAAAAACGTTTTTCCTTTTTTTAAAATTTGCTTACAAAGCTCTTATACGTTGTGTGTCACACTATTCATCATTCACGTTATGTTTTGTACAATCATTCACATGCCTTATGTTTTATAAAATTAATCACCATTGGACCTTGCCCATTATCCCTGTCTTTTCACCAGAATCCTTCCATTTCCTTCCCCGCTCTCTCCATGCACCAAACAGTGCAGCCCAGTGATGTTGCCCAACCCATCCTCACCCCTCCACTCCCACCCTTTTCCCCTTTAAGCTCCATACATGTTTTACTAGTTATTGTTCTATTTTTACAATAATGGTCTTAAGCAGTATTTGTTCAGTATAAGAGACTGAATCAGTGCTCTCAGCATAATGCTCCCCAGTCTTTCATAAATTATTAAGTACTTTTCAAAATCTTTGCTCTTGTGTGAATGTGCCACACAATGGATGAATGAACCTCTCCGAGGCCAAGCACCGTGCACTCCCCAGGTTCATGAACACCAACTGCTCCTGAGTATTTGGCTACATACTTAGTAAAATAATGAAACAGCAGCAACTGCTGATGTCTGCTGGGCATGTATGGTGCGCAGGGCACAGTGGGCTAAGTGCTGGGCTGCTACCCAAGAAATTAGTTAGCTGCTTGCTGGAGAAGGATGAGACACTATGTGCATCAAGTTTTAGGGCCTCGGAACCCTTGTGGGGTGGTTTTGCTCGTCCTAAACAGTTGCTATGAGTTGGACTCAACTAGGTGATATAGGCAATGTAGTATTTTTCTTATCTATTTTAAGCCTTGCAATCACTCTTTTATATGGTAATCCCCTCCCATGCTCTTTACTGCCTCTGAAAAACTGCTGGAGGCTCAGCTGTGGGTCCATTCAGATTCAACAAGCACACAGTGGCCTAGTTCGGACAGAGTTGTCCAGCTGATCCAAAGGTGGTACCTCTCTGGTGGTTCAAATCCACCAGTCGCTCCTTGGCAGAAAGAGAGGCAATCTCCTCCAGTGTGATTCACTCTTCCGAAAATCCTCTGGAAGGTCAGCTACGAGTTGGTTCTGACTCCGCAACAATGAATGGACATGTTCCCATTTTTCAGATAGGAAAACTGAGACTCAGGCTAAAAAACAGGTTAGCTAAAGATACAGAGAAGGTTATGGAGAGAAGGGACGGGGTTAGGGGCTCTGTTCAGAAGGCACAATTCAGGCCAAGGTTTAGACAGGGAGTAATGACCCCTTAGAGGGTGGAGAGAGTCCTTTCTGGGAAGGCAAAAGAGGCCCCCTGCCTTGGTTTGTGGGTTTTGTTGTTGTTGTTATGGACCACCAAGTCAGAACTGACCTAAAGCTGACCCTCTGCAGGGCTTTCAGAGGCAGTAAATCACAGAGAGATTACCCATCTTTCTCCCTAGAACAGCAGGCAGATTGGAGCCACATACCTGTGCTGGCAGTGAAATTCCTTACCACTAAGTCTCCAGAGACTCCTGTGAGCAGATATACAAACAAAGGAAATAGTTACTGATATGGTACCAGGAAGGTTCCCTCGTTTTGCCCTCACACACCTGAAAATATCTTCTAAGAGTCAGTCAGTGGATACTCTTTCAAAGTATAAATTCTTGGGACAAGACAGGTTTAGTGAAGCAGAAGTGTCAAAAGTCCAGTGCCAGCTCAAATGAAAGGAAAATCAAGAGGGGCAGGTTCCTAAGGTGGAGGCGAGGGCACGAAATGGAAAGCCAGGACACTGACCTCCAGAGGCCAATTGCCTCAGCTCAATTTGACAAAGACACAAGCTGACTCAGCCTCCTCAAACCATTTCCACAGGAACACTCCCGAGGTCATTCATCTCTAGCTCAGTGACTGGCCTTGAGTTTAATTGCCCAAAGCCCTGAACTTCAGACTTCCTTAGAGCAGATAAGAGGATGCTTGGGGTGTTTCCCTGAAGCTTCTTCAGGACAGAATTGAGAGGTGGGAGAGGAAAGAAGGCTTAAAGAGCAGGAGGGAGAAGACAGAGGGGAAGACAGCTGAACTGACACTCAGTGTCTACTGCCCACAGCTGGACAGTAGAGGCTGGGAGGCCACCGGGGAGGCTGGGCAATCCTTAGAGTGGGTAGTGCCTGAGGGAGGAAGAAACGGCATGAAGGTAAGAGGGGATCTTCAACACTGCTGGATATTTCACCCCAGCTGAAACCCCCAAGTGGCTGTGTTCTATACACTGTGACCTTGCACTGCCAATGGTTTAGATCAGAGCAACTCCTTGGCTCAGCTGTCCATCCCATCCACAGCTAAGACCTGACAGGAGAAGACGAGCTCAGCCAGCCAATCAGCTTATTCTCTTCCAAATGTTGAACTGAAACATAAAGTGATGCTCCGAACCAAAAGGAATGAGCCAAATAGTAACACTTTTTAGTTTTGTTTTGTTTTGTTTTTTGGCCTAATTTCTCCCCCTGCCTCCAGTTATATGACAACATGATTCAATATCTGTTTATCTCAGTTTATGCTTTCTAAGTTTAAGAATCATTTTTGAGAAAAAAATTTTTAAACCATAGAAGTGATTTGAGGTGGTTTTTTCCCCTTTCATTTTCCCTAGTACAACTCAATTATTTGACACTCAGAGGTAGGGCAGTCTCTTTTTTCTTTTAAGACACTGTTATTGCAACAAAATTCACATAACAAAACACACCAATTTAATTCTTTATAATGGTACAATTCAGTGGTTTTATTATGTTCAAATGTTGTACAGCCATTAATGCTAATCCCAGAATATTTTATTAACCTCTACTCCCCCTAAAAACTCCTTATGCCCTGGAAATCTACTTTCTGTCTTTAAAGATTTGCCTGTTCTGAACATCATAGAAATTATTTCATACAATATCATCTCTTGTGTCTGGCTTCTTTCATCTAGCATACTATTTTCAAGGGTAAACTTGTAACATGTATAAAACATATACAAGCATATGTTTTTTATTCTCCTGGCTAATTCCCTAAGAGTGGAATTGCTAGCCCGTATAGTAACTCTACAGCTGGCGTTGTGAGGAACTACCACACGGCACTGTACAGCTGCTGCCTCCTTTTACTTTCTCATCAGCAATGAATCACCATATCCTTGCCAACACTTGTTACCTCTTCCACCATTTATTGTTGTTATTATTCTAGTGGTTACCAAGGGGACAAACAGGTTTGTACTGGAGAGGGTGAAACCAGGTTGCTCCTTAGAGGCAAGGATTTTTAAAACTCCGTCTCACATACTTTGCATGTTGTCAAAGTCCTTGGAGAAGGAAATCATGCTTGGAAAGGTAGAGAGTCAACTCAAGAGAGGAAGACCCTAGATGAGATGGGTTGGCACAGTAACTGGTGTCATGGGGGCAGGAGTGTCAGAGATGGTAAGGTTGGCTCAGGAGAGGTCAGGGTTTAGAACAATTGTTCATAGGGTTGCTGTGAGTCACAGGAGACTTAACAACACATAACAACAACAGCAAGTAGGTGTGAAAGGGATCCTGGTGGCACAATAGTTAAGCACTCAACTACTCACTGCAAGTTCAGCTGTTTGAACCCAACCTCTTTAAGGAAGAAAAGGCCTGAGCATCTACTTCAGTAAATAGTACAGGTAGAATTGATGCCTTTGAGCTAGAGAAGAGCATTTTAGAGATGAGATACCATGGCCTGCTAGGAGAACAAACAGGTTGATCCTGGAGAGAGTGAATGAAACCAGGCTGTTCCTTGGAGGCAAGGATTCTGAGGCTTCATCTGACATACTTTGGACATGTTGCAAGGAGGGACCAGCCTTTGGAGAGGGACATCATGCTTGGGAGAGTGGAGGGACAGTGCAGGAGAGGGAGATCCTCTATGAGGTGAATTGATTCAGAGACTGAGGTAATCGGGATGGGAGTGTCAGAGACAGTGCAATTGGCACACGACAGAGCAGGGTTTAGGGCTGTTGTACATAGGGTCGCTATGAGTCGCAAATAACTGGCTGGTACATAACAACAACAACAGGCAGAGCAACATGGCAAGAAATGAATAAAGAAAGACATCTAAATTGGAAAGGAAGAAAAAAAATAAAACTCACAGAAAAAAAAATTTAGTAGGGAGTTCTAGTGGCCTAGTGACAAGAAGCTGCGCTACAATCCCGAAGGTGCATGGTTCAAATCTGCAGGATGCTCCACTGGAGAAGGTGGGGCAGTCTCCTCCTGTGCCAGTTGGATCTGACTTGATAGTACACAACAAGAAAAAAATAATT